TTGACAGATCACAGATTATTTCGCAGCTGTGTTGAGAAACACTGGATCGGAGTAAGCTTAGGCTTTTCGGCCTGTCTCGAGAATTCTGTATCGAATGGTGTCCCACAGAAAGGCAATCGACTCAATATGACTGAATTAAACGCTTGCGCTTAATCCAGATGCCAGTGAAAAGGGTTGGCGGTGGTGCAGCCTCTAATATTAGAAGATATTTCCACGTATGATGGATCACTGTATAGAGCTGGTAAATCCGGTTCGAATGAGCATACAGTGACAACGCTGCGAGAAGATGGAGAGAGGATAGAGGGAAATAATCCAAATGAACCAGTAGCACGCACGTCACGCGTGTGTGATGAGGTTGTGGATCATTGTTTACTTGCAACTGTCAGCTTGTAAATGTGCTCTTACTTGCTTGGCAAAGCGCTTAGAGTTTACTCACAGACAAAGCAGGGATTCCGGTATTCACCACGCGTTAGTGCGGTTTCCACTATATTGATATTAAAATGAATAACTGAACTACTTCAAGGTCCAAGCATCATCCCAGATGTGCATGGTATAATGCGTTCAGGTGGGAATCGAAACCATTTTAGTTATGTTAAGATGTGAAACTACAGAAAAATGTAGCTGTGCTACTAACAGTCTAGCTGGTAGAGCTACCTTTCAAATGGGCAACGAAGGTCTCCTAGGTGCTGCACAAACACCAGCAATAAGCTCCTTTTCAGCGTTCACCGCGACCCTATTTCAGCGTCATATATACTTGGAAACACTATCAAACTTTTATTTAGGAGCCCAAATGGACCTTCTATGACTCAGCTGCATACTGTTGAGTAACCCGGACATAATTTTCCCGGTTGCCACGCGCGAAGTTGGCTGAAGGGTAATTCGATGGTGAATGTATGTGTGACGGTGTCACGCACAGAACTGATGTTCCAACCGATTGGTTCTGCAGCTCCTTTCTATTTTAAACTACACATACTACTCACTTAATCATGTGCTACAGAACGTTTACCTCTTATATGCAGTGTACTACTTTTCAACTATGAGTTAAACCAATAGCACTTGTCTGAATTTAGTTACACCATTTAATTTACTAACAAATAAATAAACCTTTTTCTCGACTGTGTGAGGCACGCCCCTAGATGATTGCTGCGCATGCAGGGTTGTTTTACAGCTCAATGATTAAAGCTCAATGGTTAGTCAGAACTTTCCGGTACCTTGGCTCTCAACCTTCTTTGAACATCCTATAAACATATTTGACATTTGCCATATCTAGGTTGTCTCCTGTACTTTGTCTTGGGTTTACTGGGGAATGCATTATTTTTTCAGTGGTGTTGTACCAGGGCCTGCACAGGGTTGAACAGAGAAGTGTGCATTAGTCTTCGAAGGCCTCAATTTGCGATCAGAGTCAAACGGCTCATAAAATGTCGGTTAGTTGATCACTTTAACAAAGCTGAGCATTACTGATTCGGAAGAGTGATGGAAATCTGAAGTGCAACTATTGATGTTCGTTTATTGTTTTTCCGAAGCAAGCGGTTGAGCAAACGCTCTTCTGAAATTCAATTTCGCACAATCCTGAGACCAGACCAAGAAAAAGTAATAAAGTTACATTAAGGTCGTGTTCCATCCATGAATACGACGCTTGAATTGCGCATTCGATATGGGGATGAACATACATACCGCATATTTGTCGAAAAATAGAGATGTCTATTTACCAGAACGCCCGTGGCAATGGCTCGAAGTGTTGGTTACCGACTTTCAATGCCATTTCGGATTAGCTAATGCAGCCCAGGCCATCCTGAACCAGCACACACAAATCACGTTTGACGGAAGTTTGGTGCAGTACTTGAGTTCTGAACCTGCACTTTTCATTTACTTACGTTGCTTTGCAGTTAATTTTGGATTGACCACCGATGCACTTTGTCTACGTCCCGATGAAGCAGATGCTGGTCAACATTCCATTGAATCCTGAGTGAAGTCTAGACGTAGTTGATAAACAGTAGGCAGTTTGTAGCGATTTCCTGTGTGATTTCATTAATACACACCAAAAATAATCGTGGACCTGGAAATGTGCTTTGCGGCACCCACACTGGACTTGTATGGGGTCAACTAAGGAGCTCCAAACTTTGTCAACAAATTGCCGTTGAAGGAGAAAGTTAGTAATACAACTTAGAACATACTCACTGAACCCGTAATACTGGAGCTTAGAAAGGAGTATCCCAATATTTAGGTGACTGAATGCCTTCGAAAAATCCAGGTAGATCACATCGACGTCCTCCCTAGCATCAGCTGATTCCGTGCAACTATTCCGTGCGATCATTAATTTAGTTGTATACGATCACTGTCCACGGAAGCCATTCTGCTCGAAAGCAATAATATTTCAGTTCTTCACATAGGATGCCGACATACTAGTAACAATGGATTCTATGAACTTGGGAAATTTAGAAAGAAACGATACTTGGTGGTACTTTGCAGGCTTTATTCTGCTCCTGTCTTTGTGAATCGGAGATAACATTCCAAGTTTCCACATAGCATAAACTCGCTTCTGTTCTAACAAGCGCTAGTGGCTTCTGTCAGTTATTTTGATTCCGCTCCCAGTGTCTCTGGAAGAATGGTATGGACACATGTGAACTTATTGTTGCACAGAAACGTCAGCTTTTGCACGACAGCTTCAGCGGTAACAGAGATGTATTGAAGTCCCGAAGACTGTGTAGAGAAAACTAGAACGTTGTCCGACGGCTAGATCTTTAATGTGGTAACAAAATGCATCTGCAGCAAGTTTGCTGCATCTGTAGCCTTTCTTGTTGAGCTATCATCCGACCGAAGTTGAGGGAATCCCTGCCTCACCTTTCGTAGGCCATCGATGTGCTTATAAAACTGTGGCACTAGAGGAGTTACCATGGGCTGCTGATGGGTGGCGTTGTCTTCTCTGAGCAGTTGGATGCAGTAGTTATTTTGAGCTATGTAGTCGTCCCAATTAGTTGGTGTTGCAGCTGCTTGCCACGCTACTTTGCGTAATAACCTCCATTTTCTAGCTCTGTACTTTCGAAAAGAAACTGTTTTAGGTCCATTACAAGCTCTTGTCTGTGAAGCACCTGCAGTCAGCTGATTGGATTTGTTGACGAGTTTGAGGCAGACGACTTTTGGAGGGTCTTTCGCGAAGAATGACCGAGTTATGGGGTGCGCCGTCTCATGGTTTTCCGTTCGATGTCCCACATAGAAGGCGAAGTCGAAATTAATGACTGCATGATCACTGCAGCCCAAAAGGTAGTCCATAACCAACAAATCAATCATGTCCAATACACAGGCTACATTTAATAATTTTCTGTTCATTAGACTATGTGTAACGTCCACTGTGTAACGTTCATTGATTATATCTATACGCCCTTCTCTAATGCACAAGGGAGGTAGTCGTTCCGATCCATCTGACTATCTTCCTATAATCCTACTACCGGTACTTCCGAAGTTCATGGAAGGCAGCACTACAGATGCGCTAACGGCCCACTTGAAAGAATCAACCTACCTTGCACCTACCTTGCACAAGACGAAATCGCTCGTGCGATTTAAATCTAACGCTAGCCCGATCCACGTGAACCAAAGCAGTAGACACTAGCGTATAAATTGCAGTAGTTTTTCTGGACTTTTCAAAGACATTCAACTGGTCAGACCATGACATTCTGTTTTGCACACTCCAGACATTTGGTATTGGTGATGTTCCCCTAGGATGGCTTAGAAGCTTTCTCCTACACCAGCGCTTAGAGATGAGAATTCATGAATCCGTATCGGGTCCCATCTAAGTTAAGTGCTAAGTACCACAGTGATCGGCGCTGCGATCCCGGTTATTTTCGACTTATATCAACGGCGTTACACGCTTCATAAGCTCGGATTGCCTTCTCTAGGCCAATGAAATCACTATGTAGATGGCGATCAATATACCAGATGATGGCACACTACTTCAGGCCACTCTGATGAGTGATCAACCCATAACCTTCTTCGGTTTTCTTTGGATAAATACAGAATGCTGTACTTATGGCACTAGCAGGCGTGCTTCTATAAACTCGGCAACCCCGAGCTTCAAAGGCCTTCTTGTGCAAAGGATCTGGACTTGTTTATCCATGTCGACTTTGGATATTCGAATCAAGCTGCAATGGCGTCACTAAGTGGTATGCAACACGTGGGCCTCCTGGGGCATTCATTCCGATTATTTGATCCGTCCATTTTTCCACAGCTTCTCGGTTCAAACATACATCTACATGTGGAATACGCAATACAAGCCTGGCAGCTATGTCTAAGGAGAATTCTTACCGCATGGGGGATTTCCCAACGCTGAGCAACTAACAACTGCCCTTATGAACAAAGACTTCGAGTGCTGGGAGTCTTCAGTGGAGATTACTGATGGTTGCGTGGGTACCTACTTTTGACTTACCAGGTGTTGAGAGCTCCTAAGTACACGTGCCACCATTTGCTACAGCTGTCACAACAGTAATCTGATAAGCCACCATCTCAACCTGGCAAGGAAGTACAGTCGTTTGGAATACCACTGGAATTTCTTTTCCCCCGTGTTTGCCAAGCACGGAATGCCTTACCGGAATATACCATGTGCTCCAACGCTGGTAGATTTAAAAGCATTAGTTGACCGCGTACTCATTTCGCTGCACTATGTCACATGAGTCGTTGCCCATGGCCAAACCCGAGTGTCCGTTAGTGATTTCGCTGACAGTCGACACCTAGAATACGCTCCACCTTTCCGCTCCTCTATGTGCCCACATGGAGGCGGCACAATTGTCACTAACATTGTATTTGTCGTCATTCCTTATGAACTTACAGTGGGTTTACAGTGCATAACGCGTACACCGAGGTGAGTCCACGGGCGCAAACACACTTTTGCTGACCATGTTACTATATTTTGCTATACTCATCGTGACTATCCTAGGGATCTGTTACGCTTTAGCCTCTTTACCATTGTACAACCATTGTTACCTTATTCTCCTTCTTTGACTTCTCAGTCATCATTGGATGCATTACGTGACGCTTTAAGGCAGCATAAAGCATTCTACGATGCAATGGTTCTCTGCGGTCAACGGATTCAAGCAATCCTTGACCTTGGCTCGCGGTTGGCGCAGGAGGACCCAGTGAATCGCCCTCGAATTGCGGCTATCTGTCAGGTTTTGGAGAAAAGGTACGTGGTATATTGATACTTAACTTGCTGAACATGCCTATATTAAGTCACTGTTGTATTGGCTAGCTGACCATAGTGTATTATTTTAAGTCTGTTCTACATTTATTTATTCATATTTCTGCCTGATGATCTGAAAGCTCACAATGGAAAATTGTCCAAGGACGAGCCGCACCTTTGTATAGGCTTCCGTAATGATAGCAAAGAGCGGTAATTACATTTGTAGGGAGATGCTCATCTATTACTGACCAGCATTAGATTTCTATATAGCATCCGTCGTAGGTTTACATATCGCACATTAACCTCGGACCAGCCGTGGATGCAAATTGACCACATCACGATCAGTTACCGGTGGAGAGGTTGCGTCCAAAACTGTCGCACGAATATAGATGCCGACCGTGTAGTTGAATACACTGAACGCGCTTCGGTGCACGTGTGCGGCTACGCTCGTAGTGTATAGAGACCCAGCGAACGGCGAAGCCAGATGTTCAGAATGCAGATAGAATTACGCTGACATTCAGGTGGTGTAAGCGCCCACTGCATGCAACTGAAGGTCAATGGCAGAAAGTTCACCAGACCACATTGGTGTTAGTTGTTTTCCTGTGACAGATCTGATCACCAACCTAGACATTAAGTCTTTGCGCAATTTCCTGAATTTCCGGATGCTCGCTGACGTAATCCGGATTAAAGCAGACACAATGGAACTCTCAGAATCTGGGGGAAAAACTGCGCACCGCATTGAAGCGAGGCCACGTGGCCTGCTGATTCCATCGCGCATCGGTGATGGAAATCACCGCTCTCCTTGGTAACCATAGGAAGTGATTTCCCTCTGATACGGGAATCTAGTGCTAGCGAAAATACTTTTGACAAGAGTGGACAGTCTGTCCACAAACTGCCTATCCAGCTGAGCACCTTAAAAAGCGAATTAGCTGGCTATTGGTCCGTGTTCACTGTACCCTATGGGCTGTCTCACCCGCAAAAGTTGAAAGTGCAATCAGACTGTTGAAGTTGAATTGCGCTGCGGGACGACATGATCTTCCTTTCGCCCTTTTCAAATACGGCTAATCTGCCTCTGTAAATTGTCTGCTCAATCTATTAAGGAAACTGTTGGAGCAGGAAACTGTCCCGACCTACGGTTGCCGCCCCGCAATAGCCCATTTTTCAAACGAGTGGTTTGGAATGCGGCAAGCTCATATGCATTAGTCTGCTCCCTATCACTTTCAAGCTACTCTCTTCTTTTCTTTTCCGTAGACTGACAGGCATTCTTGAAAGCCAGACTCGTGAAGAGCAAGTCCGGTTTCGCTGAAATCGAGACTGCGTTTATCATATGTTCGCTTTGCACCAGTTAGTGGAGCATCACCATGTTTACTGGCGACCCACCGTAGTCGTGTTCCTAGACATGGAAGATGCCTTAGATTCGGTGCATCAATGTACCCCTTGGGATGGTTCGATTGAGAAAGGTGTGCCCGTGCAATACATAAGTATTTTCGGAGCGGTCTACGCGGTTACTTCAAGTGGAGCGAGTGCTTATGGTAAGCTGTCGCCGCCGTACTATATCTCTAACGGTATGAGACAGGCATGCCCGCTTTCACCCCTCTTTCTCAGCTTCCTCAGTGAGCAGGCCGTGGGAAATTGCATTTATTGTACACAAGGTGGAAAGTGTGCAGCTGCTTCCTGGCGAGCAGCTTTTTACTTGAGGTATGCCAACAGCATCACGTTCATCCGTTACAGCTCCCAAACATACCAAATATACTGGACAGATTAGCACCGACGGTCAATAGTTCCGGGTGTGCTTTGCACCGTCTAAATGCAGTACTCTTCTCTGTGATTGCTAGGGACGGCCTGCTACACTAACCTTTGATGAGGATCAAACAGAAGCCGTTCAAACAATTAATTACCTGGGCAATTATATTAGCCCAGGTGAAATAGAATATAAGGTCACAAAGCGGACAACAAAAGCCTGTGGCGTTTGCGCTAAACCTTTGCACGTATAACACCGGTGTGACATCACTTGTGTCCTGTAAAGCAGTAACTAAATAAATAAATGTCTATATTTACCGACAAACGGTGCATGGCCCATAAGCGAGAGCGATCATTTGTATAGTGAATAGGTTTCATGGTTTATGCGGCGTAAATCATAATAGTCAAGTTAAATAATAGGATTCCGGATCATGATTTTTTTCCTCGGGTCCTAGATCCGAGCACCTAATACGTAAAAATTACTGATATTTGTATTGTCCTCTTCTAGTTTTCGGAGCTCAGGAGTAGATAATAAATGAGAGGGGATAATAGGATGCACAGATACAAGAGTTGGTATTGTAGGTAATAACACGTAGTGAGCAAGCTAATTTATAAGTGAATATCTGCTCATATGTTTTTATCCCAACTTCTGTCTATTTCTATAGTTTGCTGCGAGTCAAAATCTTCCACACCTTTGATATAAAAAACAGTTAGTTCCGTTCAAAAATTTGAAAAGCACGGTAAGGAGACGAAAACTGATAGATGCAAACATTTCGTATTGTCTCCTCAGTACCATTAACAATAACCGGCATGCAACTATATACTTACATATGCGTGTGCCCGAATAAACATGAGATGCAAAATGAATGACGAAAGTTTCACCCCCATGTCCACGGCAGTCTTAAACTGATAAACAATTGCTTCTGAACACAGGGCCGGCTTCATCCGGCTTATCGCAATGGCCTCGGCGAATCGGAGGAAGCGGGGATTAGGGTGACGTAATAAAAGTGTGAACGCTGATGCGAGCTCTATCCGGTGACATGTAGTCAGTAGGTGGATTGCGCAAGCACGGAACTTCAGTGGGACAGGGATACTGGTCAATTTCACGTTGGACCCACCTTGGCACGTGTTCCTTCATTTGGGAAGTCAAAGACCGTTTGGTTCTGCTTATGTAACTGTCTCCGCAGTCGCACACGAATTTGTATATGCAGTGTGAGTTGGCCACTATCGGTTGAACTTCCTTCATTGAAGGCACCGGCAAGTTACAGGTTCTATTGATGACCACAATCTGAGCCGCGCAGTAACTTCTCTGCGTAGCAGAGATTAGACGATCCGTGGTTTTCAATGCAGTAAAGTCACCCTTGAAAGGCAACTCGATATAGATCTTTTTCTTGGCTGCCGTATGCACCAAGTCTCTCGGGCCTCGCTGTTAGCTGTGTCTCTCTATAACTCTACGTGAATAACCGTTTGCAACGAGTGTTGTTGTAATAAACTCTAGCTCGTCAGCTAGACAATCAGCCGAGCAAGTTCGTCTAGCACGACTAACTAAAGTTTTCACAAGGGTCCGCTTGTACCGTACTGGTGTGAAGCTGGTGAAGTGCAGGTATTGGCCGGATCAGCTTGCTTTTCTGTAGATAGACCTTTTGATGAGCCCATCATCCCTGCGACTGATGAGGATGTCTAAGAATGGCAGGAAGTTCTTCTGTTCCACTTCGCAGGTTACCCGCAAGTTGGTATGTGCACAGTTGAGTTGCTGCACCAACTGGACAATCTGCTGCTCCGATGAACAAAAAGCCAATATATCATCCACATAACGCTTATAGTATGGGAACTGGGTTATTTCTGTGAGTATGCCTCGCTCTATCATCAGTATGAAGAAATAGGCAAGTACAGGGCCTAGCGGGCTACTCATTGTCACACGATGGATTCGACGATATGGGGTGTTCTGAAAGTAGAAGCCAACATTTGCTGTACACAGAAGTAAGGAGTCCTTTAGAAATTCGACTAGAATTGGTAACGAATAACTAGATTGCTCAGCTAGCTCACATGTGTAATCAACAGTTTGTTGTAGTGGGACGTTGGTGAATAGAGATTCCACATCCAAGGCACACATGATTTTATCAAAGAGGTTGATGTCATCTAAGCCACCGATAACTTGAAAAGAATCCTTAAGCTTATATGGATTTGATAGTTATCGAAGAGGCGAAAGTATCTTCACTAGCCAGCGAGCCAAGTTATGCTGCCGCGCATTTACCATTGATAGTATCGGCCTAAGCGGTACACTCCACTCTTGTGCGTCTTCGGTGACCTGTATAGCTGTGGAGTTGTGCTTCCACTTGGCTTCAAACAAGTATAGGTGTCACTGTCAAACACGCGATGAAGGAGAAACATTTCAAGATGGATAGCTATGCTAGCTTCAACGTCGGCTACGTTCTGCATCCTATAAAGTCGTTCAACTTTGCTCGTGTCGTTGAGTATGCTACACATTTTCTGAGCGTACTCCGCCTTGTTCATGACCACCACTCCAGAGATTTTATCCGGTTTCATCACATATACGTTCTTAGTACGCAGTTCACGCAGCGCCTGAAAGTGTCGGTCTGTAAGTGCGCATTTTTCAGTAACTGGCACAGTCTTGACTTCGTGGGCAATGTCGGCCAATTGGCTTCTAAACCAAACAACATTCTCAGGACTGGATAGTTGAAGCTACTTAAATTGATCAATGAAGTTCTCAAACTGAGCTTCTTCTAGGAGGAATTTTGTAATCAAGCCCATATGACAAAGCTTCTAACTGCAAAGCGTCTAGTTGTACGTCTGATAAATTTACCACATATTTACTAGGATCACGAACGATTGGCTCCTCATCCTGGCTGTTCGTAAGCGAGTTCTCCAACCGAGTATTCCCATTTCGCCTTGTACGTTCGAGAGTCGATTTGATTTCCCGAATAAAGGAACACGTGCCAAGTTGGGCCCAACGTGAAATTGACCAGTATCCCTGTCCCACTGAAGTTCCGTGCTTGCGCAATCCACCTACTGACTACATGTCACCGGATAGAGCTCGCATCAGCGTTCACACTTTTATTACGTCACCCTAATCCCCGCTTCCTCCGATTCGCCGAGGCCATTGCGATAAGCCGGATGAAGCCGGCCCTGTGTTCAGAAGCAATTGTTTATCAGTTTAAGACTGCCGTGGACATGGGGGTGAAACTTTCGTCATTCATTTTGCATCTCATGTTTATTCGGGCACACGCATATGTAAGTATATA